GTTTAATTTCTTTAACTACCATTTGTCTGCTTTAGAAGTTTGGTTGATAAGATGAATACAGCAGTTCCATATTTCGTTGCCTTTTTTTATATATTCCTCTAAGCCACAGCGTCAACGAAAAGATAAACGTGTCTGTAAAATAGTTTACACAGTATATCGTAGAGCGCATTTTATTCTTTAATTCAACGACAACATACATAAGTGCAGTACAATAATGATACACTGTCTACACCATTTACATTCAATACAACTAAAGTGACGTGACAGAGGTCTTAAGGTAAACAATGACACAGATAAATCACCAACCCTGAACAAGACCTAGGCAGTATACACTGAAAAGATTGCGAAATCCTTTCCTTTCGTAAAGAGGAAGGAAAAACAAAATAAATGACCCTGTGAACAGGCTCCGGCTGGAAGGAGCTGGAAGGGTCTGACCGCGGCTGCAAAGGTTGAGAAGAAACTGGGTGAGAGTGAAGTGGCCGATAGGGGAATGGGGTGGAATAAATGATGCAAGAATAAACCAACAAGATAACAATTCGGTCAGTTACCATGGGATTACTGAAATGGATTAAGAACAACTAGTTTAAACTAAGAGCGAAACGTTTTCAATATGCGTCCATCCTGTAGCTTCTTTATTACTGCAAATTAACGTTGCCCGCGGGTTGGCTAATTTCCAGCCCACCACCGAAGTTTACATCAGTTTTTCGGAATCATCAAACGACTAGAAGAACATGTATGAGTATTCCTTTGTTCCCTCATGATTGAAGTGCTAAGTTATCGTACTTAGATCAGAGCTTTCGTCAACATACACTTGATGGTACCTTATGGACTTTTCCAGCGATACGGCGAACATTTTGAATTCTATTGTTTGAAATAGCCATTATGGGATGCTTAGGGGGCAAATACATGCTAATTTACCCCTCTGAGCACCGCACAATAGCTATTTGAAACAACACAATTCAAAATGGCCGCCGTATAGCCCAAAGGGTCCATTATAGTCTTAGGCGAAGAGAGCATAAAATATATAACAGCCAAACTCTTCCATGTAAACGAAAACGAAGGTGGGGCTGACCAAGGCCCTCTCCTCTTCGCAGTTTACATTAAGTAGAAAGCCTCGGTGCCATGTTAGAATTGTGATGTATCAAACGCGGGCTTCATAAGAAAAAGGCCAGTCTGCCCTGTCGGAACCGCCCTATTCGAAGTTAAACATGCTACACCACAAAGTAACCATATTGCGCGCCCTCCACGAGTCAAATTACTTGACCGTCCGTGAGTTCTATTTGTTTAGTTTTCCTTCCACTCATGGATCATGAGAAAAACCACAATCTCTTGCACTTGATTTAAACTTAACAGCTCAATTTGTTTAATTAAATTAATTATCTAATTCTTATACCTGATAACACCCATTTTACCTGATCATAATCTCTTGCCTTTTGCCCAGTACTTGACAAACACAGCGTTTCGTATTGCATTGGGAAAGTCGCTAGAGGTGCTCAGAGTTTAAAGCCAACGAATAAACTACTTAACTACATATTTAAAAGAAAGAACACGTATATATGTACAAGTAAACAACTGAGACAACTACATATATTGACCTCGCTTTGCAATGTTGCTAAAACTTACAGTTACAAGTACTTGTACCAAAACCGAATAGCCTGCAGCTTTGGTTAAAAGGCATTTAATTTACATCAAAAGTTAGAACGTGTACAGGTAATCAACTCAGAAAACTACATCTATTGATCTCGCTTTGCCGCGACTTTTTTTAAACTTAAGATGCCATGCATGATCACCGGAAATCCCTCAGCCTTAGTCCATCCATTACTTTTCCGTACTGATTGGTGTAGTGGGGTTATACTTATTGACAATGAACAAAGCCTGTGGATTTGGATAAAAAGGATCATCCATTGTTACGAGCGTTGCATTCCTATTGCCGTCACTTCCCAGATACAGCGTGGAATAGGGTTTGCTTCTGAACATTGTCTGGCCCCAGTAATAGTTGGGTACAAAAATGGAACCGCTTGTTGGAGTCGACTAAAATGATAGAAAAAACAATAACAAAAATATTACAAGCTTAATTAGTTAGAGGTCAGCACCCATGAAACATGAAAAGAGAAAAATACAGACTAAGGATAAAAAACGAAATAAAAGTTCTAACCCCATATGCATCTTTATTGCAAAACGGATGAATTGTCAGAACAAATTTGGTCTTTTGGTCTTTCTTAAAATTAAGGCCTTAAAGTAAATTCTTATAAACGTTTTCAAGTTCGGTTAAGGTGCACAGAAGCAACGTTATCGGTTCTAACTTCACTAAAAAAAATCTTGGGAGTTCTGACGCCTCAAGCTTTATCACACTGGGGGAAGAGATGCATGGAGCAAGCCAGATTACAGTACCCTGGTTCAATAGTAGGACAACAAGACTTTTCCTAATCGTCGTCGCCTCAAGTGAAACGACTTTTTTTAAATCATAATTACTTACGCTAACAGTGACTTCTTGACCTTCCCGAGTTGAAGTTATGTACAGGTAACCGTTTGGTGGCCCGTCACCATTGTACACTAAATGAAACTCATTATCCCCTACCGATTTTGCTTGTATCATCGCTGAAAGAAAACACATTTATTACGTACCATATTTATTTATTTTTTAGTGTTCCAAGTTTAGGACATAATTTAGCTGTTGCTGGAAGTAAATCACGGGCCGGGTTGCGGATTAGCGAGAGTGTTAATTTCAGCGTTTGTCACTTTTCGGTGAGTTTTTCTGATTGTACTGTTTGTCCTTCAGTTTAGAGCTTGAGTAATCTCACAAAACACAAAACATTATAACAAGCGCTAGCCATCCAGGTAGCGTTCACCGGCCTTCGAACAACGCGGCCCAGAAAGATTAGAATTACGTAAGAGTACTGGTGTAGAAGCCGCAACTAGTGTTAGACTAATTGAGTGAAAGAATGCGAAAGAAAGAAGGTGTCCTTTTTTAAAACTTCTAAAGATACTGCGTGCAATCCCCGTGAGCTATTCCAGCAGTGTCACACAGAGTAAGTACCCAGAGTGGTTGTTGATGCCACCAGGACCCAGGCTCCCTTGTCTCCGCTTCTCATTAAAGAAAAATAAAATAAAATAAAATAAATAATAATAGTAATAAATAATAATAATAATAATCGAACTATTACTCACTATCGTGGCTATTAATGCTACCATTGCAAGTTACTTTCTAGTCAGTNACACCACTCCCCCCTTCATCGTCTATCCAGCAATCTCTTCCCTTTCCTCAAACGTCATAGCTGAATTGACTGCCAGACAGCTAGGGAATTAGAAGTATTGGAGATAATTATTCGATCGTTTGTTTCATTTCGTATTTCCTATCTTTCCAAGAAGCTTAAAAACTTCCTCTTACCTATATTGCTTAGGCGTGTTTAAAACACGAAATGGCGAAACGGTGAAATGTCACGTCCATTAGCACAAATAGCACTCCGGTTAGCCTAAATAGCTTGCAGGTTAAAGCCTAAATATCACTGAATCGACAGTGGCTAGCTCTCAATGCTAGTAGGGTTGCCCCTACAAACACCCGTAGCCCACATTGATTCTCTCTCGTAGTGCCATGTCGTCATGTCGCCATTCTGGCATGCTTTAAAATTGTTTTCGGCGAGAAAGCGTTAATTAGTGTATACAGACAAAACTGAGGTTTCGTGACGTAGTCGCAGATGTATGACAAATGCAGCGAAATTTTACTTGGCTGCATCTGGGATCCTGAGTCGGATAATTTTCCAAATGTAGAGGTAAACTACATTCTAAAGTCTTTATGGTAACCGCCATAGATTTTGTCGATCAAGCCTAGTTTGTTCTTTATGTGAGTATAGTTGCCCTCCCGGATGGGCGACGAATCCAACTACTTAGCAGCATAATTTATTGTCACTCTTAATAACTTCATGATCGGAGCTTATATATGTATACTTGATTCGTCCCCCAATCAGTAAAATTGTTTGCCGAGTATCTTAACGATACAGAATCTATGATTGTGTGAATTTTTGTCTCTTGTTGGGGCGTTCTGCTTTCAAAAGGGAGGCCGCAGTCATGATAAGTTATATTGGTCACTGTTGGCTACTGTTGTGTTTTGTTTAAAATAACTTGCTAGCGAAATACTTGAAACACCTGAAGAGCCGTATTCATTGTCTCTATAAGCCACACTATATCCTATTAGCTGACTGCAGTAAATATCTATGACTCACCTGGAACGATTTGAGGGACCAAAGTAACGGGTCAACGATATACTAGCACTCTTAACAACAAAAGTGGTCACCTTTATGTAGTTATATTCGCTACACCATTAAATATAACTTTAGCTTAATGCTATATGCGATGAAATCAGTGAAGTGAATAATCAATGCTGCATTCTCCGCCGACCCAAATGCGCACTGGCATCCAAACAATCCAACGACCTGTCCCTCAAAAAGTGGTTGCATTTTTCTTAATAAGATTTGTTTTTCAGATGTAACTTCTTTTTTCCTTGTTTTGAGCTTAAATTTAATCTTTTCGTCATGTAAAAGCAATGATAAATAGCTCAATTAATACAGCAGGCCAATAGGGCCTTAACATTCTAGTTTTGTTGTCACATTGAAAACATCATAATTTCCTTCTTCTGAACTAAAAATTTAAAGAGCCATCCTCATGCTTGCGTTATTTCTGTCAAATTATAAGTAGAAGTCCCACTTTGGGGGGCTTTTTCCTGCACAACAAATATTAATCACCATATTGATTCAATATCCATACATTCTCTCTCTCCGGCATAGCGTGGCGGCACAGGGACGGAGGAGTGTGGCGGAGGAGGGGGTGGAGGGGTTGGAGACCGAAATATTGGTTGGATTTTAGATCCTTTGCGGAAAATTTGGGCTTACCGCAGTTTTATTTGCCCTTACAAGTTAAGAGACCTAGTCATCAAACTCTTTCATCTACCCAGCTACCAAAGCACCACGGTGTTTTCTGCTTCTTGTCTTGTTTGTTTGTTGATTTGTTTTTGTTTTTTTTTTTGTTTTTTTTGTTATTGGCTAGAAATATTTGAGTTCAGTTCTGAATGCTCTAAGGGATATCAAAACATTATATTCACACTGCCACCCCACAACTTAACAAGGCGATAACGTGTTTGAGTAAAATATGGTAGAAAGGTGGTTTGAAATTTGTCTTCTTAAAATGACTGCAAAGCATAATTGACAAATTTAAAAAACCTAAGCTGGATTTAGTTTCTGAAACTAGTTTAGGTAGTGTGAACATGGTATAGCACAAACAAACAAAAAAAAACTCAAACTGAAAGAGTCATTGCACTCTCAAATATGACAAGTCGTTTTACTTGTCTTGAATAATAGTCATTTTACTCTCAAAGATTCTTCTACTTCTTGCACTATCAAAGTCAACTTATACGCTATTACATTTTTCAAAGGCATTTAATTTGCATCAAAAGCTAGAACATGTACAGGTAATCAACTCAGACAACTACATCTATTAACCTCGCTTTGCGATTTTTTTAAAACTTAACATGCCATGCATGATCACCGGAAAGCCCTCAACCTTACTTCATCCATTACTTTTCCATATGGATTGGTCATGGTGTAGTGAGCTTATACTTATTGACAATGAACAAAGCCTGTGGATTTGGATAATGAGAATCGTCCATTGTTACTAGCGTTGCATTCCTATTGCCGTCACTTCCCAGATACAGCGTGGAATAGGGTTTGCTTCTGAACATTGTCTGGCCCCAGTAATAGTCGGGTACAAAAATGGAACCGCTTGTTGGGGTCGACTAAAATGAAAGAAAAAACAATAACAAAAATATTACAAGCTTAATGAGTAAGAGGTCATCACCCATGAAACATGAAAAGAGCAAAATACTGAGCAAGGACAAAAAACGAAATAAAAGTTCTAACCCCAGACATGTCAAAATCATGTACTATCCATGTCCTGCATNCGTTATCGGTTCTAACTCCACTAAAAAAATCTTGGGAGTTGTGACGTCTCAAACTTTATCTCACTGGGGGAAGAGATGCACGGAGCAAGCCAGATTACAGTACCCTGGTTCAATAGTAGAGCAACAAGACTTTTCCTAATCGTCGTCGCCTCAAGTGAAACGACTTTTTTTAAATTATAATTACTTACGCTGACAATGACTTCTTGACCTTCCCCCTTTGAAGTTATGTAGAGATAACCGTCTTCTGGTCCGTCGCCATTGTACACTAAATGAAACTCATTATCCCCTACCGATTTTGCTTGTATCATCGCTGAAAGAAAATGCATGATATTTTCCATATTTAATTTTTTAGTGTTTCAAGTTATAGACATAACTTAGGTGTTGTTGGATGTAAATCAGGCCGGGCTGTTCAATGTCAAACAGTCAGATTTTCTTACAATTTGAGCTCAATGAACGATGTCAGATCAACCAAATATAATTCACTAAAACAAAATAAAGAACACTGGCCCAGAACAATGACAGCTTAAGGTCTCTGAGAATGCATCAGTTGCTCACCTGTCAATCATTCTCCTAGTAATAATTGACAGAATACTTATAGTACTGCACATCACAGTACTCTGCTGCCCCAATTTCATAGGAGAATGCATTAAGACTAACTGAAAAACAATCACTTCCAGTATGTTTATATATGGCAAAAATGTAGGATGAGTGACTTAGAATTCAAACACTGTCAATCATGTTGCAATGGTAACACAAAAACTTGAAGTTCAGGTGTATTTTTTACAATTCATAATTAGTTTAGGTTGGCCAAAAAGTAAATCTTTTGTCGCGCAGACATAAATACAAGAAACATCAGGTGAAAAAATTAGGTAAGTAGCTCAAAACCTCTTGCAAATATTAACAAGGGTAGTTCCCTTGTCATGAAAGACATCATGAGGAATTCAAGTTAAAAGTTTCAAAAGTTAAAGCACGAAGTGTTTTCGTCAACATCATTAAAAACACTGAAGTTTCTGATAAGATGCTGTCTTAAGAAATAAATAAAAACAAAACTGTGATATGTGAGTCATTAACATGTCCATTTGTTGCATTAGAAGGCCCCAGCCTCATATGCGATCCCTTCTCCCTGAATACAAGTTTCCTGAATCGTCACAGCAACCCTCTTTGTAGCTCGCGTTTTCCTTTTGAATAGTTCCGATGATCTTTTTTCAGCTTTCTTTACTTGTTGAATGTCTCTTTTCTGACTGGCTTACATAGTTTGCACTCCCCCCCCCNTCCCTTTTTTTTTATCCCAGAGAGTTCCATGACCCTGTGCTTGGCTTTTGCACCAGAGCAGAAATGCAATGTTGCAAAGATCGCTGTCATTTCTACATGCTTTCATCCGAACCACCTTTGCTTAGGGCATCGTATCAAACCGAGGAATTGACAGATTTATTTGGGTTTTGAGTGTGTCCTGCCAGACAACTTTTCAAAAGCGGACGTACACATGCTCCAAGTGTTCTACAAAAACAGGATCAAGATGGTGGCTCTGGTTTCCTAGTTCTCTTGCAAGAGCACCAAGAGTTTGATGGCAACTTACAGCTATGGTATAAGCCAGCTTTAATCTTCACCAGAAAAAGTAAAGAAGAGAGAAAAAAAACCAGGGAAATAACCACTGGGGTTTTAAGAGTGCTTTGAGTTTAAAATTAAAATTCCTACGAATTTAACCAAAATTGACAAACATATCACTGTAATTCCGCCTTAAGCTCACCCAGGATTAGCGAGAGTTTTGATTTTAGCTTTGTAACTTTTCGGTAAGGTTTTCTGTTTCTATTGTTTTTCCTTCAGTTCTGAGTTTGAGTAATCTCAATCTATACAAAGGCTAAGCAGTCATAAACATATATACAAGATAAATCAACTGTTCGGTTAACTTTTAATCTCGGGTTTGCGTTAACCCGCCTTCGAGCAACCCGGCCCAGAGCTAGAGAACTTACTTGTAGGGGTACAAGCCGAGTATAAAAGGCGAAAAGAAAAGGTGTTGGACTAACTGAAGAGTGAAACAAAGCGAAAGAAAGACTGAATTTTCTTTAAACTTCTAAAGATACCCGAGCACTGATCCCCGGGAGCAATACTATCAATGTTATGCAGGATGAATTTATTTGCTCAGTAGGCCAGATCGGGTTTTGTTAATGCTACCTGGTCTCAGCTCCGTTCTCGCAGCTTCTCAGCGCAAAACTGAGTGTTCCAAAAAATTTACTCACTATCGCTGCTAGGAAAGCCACCACTGCAAGTTACTTGCTGGCCAACTTTCTGCATCAAGCCGTTACTGACAGGGTTCCAGAAGCGATAAGGGACATCTTTCTTGATGGTGTGAGGTTTCAAATCAGGAGGAGTTGGTCCCTGTGATTCCGTTACCAGATACCAAGGAATCACAATGTGACATGGATGGAAATGAGAAGAGCCATCCTCTGCATGGCAATTGCTGTGTACCTGCAATTTCACAAGTATATAAGACACAAAGCAACGTATTTCAACGCCTCTTCGAACCACCTAGAGGGATTTTCTAAGATTTTTTACGATAAAATCCAAAGGACGTGCATTCGTTAGCTGGGTCCAGAAAATCACATTGTGCCACCACCAGCCAGCCTCTTCAGACCTATACCTGTGTTCCTGCAAATTTACAAGTAAGGCACAAAGTATTGCATCGCAACGTTTCTTCAAAACACTTAGAGGGATTTTCTAAGATCTTTTACGGTAATAGTTCTTTAAACTGTAACGTGTTGTCCTTAAATCCATTGTAAATTGTGTTCCGAGAGTTTACCCCACATCTGATCTGACACTTGCCTGTAGCCAGCTTCTAGTTTTTTTTTTTTTTGTTTTTTTGTTTTTGGTTTTATTTAAACACTTCTCATGCAGTTTACAGAGCTTACACTNTTCTCTCTTTGTTGTTGTTATTCTGATATGAGTTCGATAATTTCTTTTCCTGTGTGCGAAAGAGTACCATCAATAGAATTGCTAAATTGGCAGAGGACTCGAATTACACTCTTAATCAATGTTCATGTATTCCGAGAATCTACCCATTGCCAGAGCAGTTCACCTTCAATGCGTTGAAGTGCGAACAAATACAAAAAGTAATCACTTCCATGGCGAGTAGTAAAGCCCCTGGGATCGATAAAATTCCAATCCGTGTCATTAAAGATTGTTTATCTGCTATTTTGCCATCGTTAACGTCTATTATTAACGCTACCTTTGAGTTTGACTCGTTCCCTTTGGCCTGGAAAACAGCTGAAGTGACCCCGATACCCAAGGTTGGAGATCACGACATTCCGAACAATAACAGACCGATTTCACTACTCCCTGTCCTTTCTAAAGTCTGTGAGCGCGTCGCTCACGATCAGTTTACGTCTTATCTGCTCTCGAGATGCCGTTTATCATCCAAACAAAGCGGAAATAAACAGTGGCATTCAACGGAAACGTCTGTCATTCAAACAACCGACGAATCCTAAATGCCACTGACCAAAAGAAACTAACTGCAGTTGTCCTTCTTGATTTAACTAAAGCTTTCGACAGTATTGATCATCGAATACATCTCGCTAAGTTACAGGACATTGGTGAGTCCAGATCTGCGACAGAATGGTTCGGCAGTTACTTAACCTCGCGATACCAAGCTAGTCAAGCTGTGCGAATAAATGCAACTTTGTCAACCAAACTACCTGTTAGCTCTGGCGTTCCACAAGGGAACATCCTTGGTCCATTACTCTTTAACATCTGTGTTAATGACCTCCCTTCTGTTTGAGAAAATTGTTCGTCGCAGTGTTACGTTGACGATACCAAACTGCTCGTGTCATTTCAACTCCACGATCAGAACGAAGCGATAGCAAAGATGAATAAGGACTTGCTAAGTATTCGGAATTGGTGCTTTAATAATCAGCTTTTACTTAACCCAGATAAAACGAAACTAGTCATATTCGGCAGCCGGCAATTGACTGCTAAGGTTATTGACTTAAGGCTATTTCTATTGGGGAAGGAGCTCGAGCCGTCAAGGCTGCAAGAGACCTTGGAGTCACACTGGACTCTAATTTAACCTTTAATGAGCATATTGTTTCCATTGTATCCTCATGTATGTCACGATTAGGCCA